AAAACAAAAGAGGCAGCGCCGGGTGGCGAAACCCGGAGTCCGTGACAGCAGGCAGGTCTGATGCTTCCAACCACTGGGATGTGGATAGGTCGGCCTGGAGCTCGCTGAGAGGTAGCTTCAGAACAAGAGGAGTAAGACTGAGGGAGTCAGGGCAGGATCGAGGTTTGCGAAGGGAGGATTTAGGGATTTGGGGTTCAGCAGACAGGTCGGGTCTTGGGACTCAGCTTGATACGCACTGAGCCGCTAGAGAGAGAGAGAGAGAGAGAGAGAGAGAGAAAAAAAAACAAAAAGAGAGAGAGAGAGAGAGAATCACTGTTTAGTGCCTGCTGTGCGGTCCAATTAAGATCTGAAGCCTACAGGAGCGGCAGAATGTGCGGGCACTCCTGCATGTTGTCGTTTTCTGCCACCGTTGTCGCCAAACACGGTCGATACGCGTCAGCATTTGTGTGGCACCCCAAGCCGTGCGCCCCCTCCCACACCCCAATAAGCAACAATGCACCAAGGATTGTACGAGAAACAAATGTGTGGATATAGACATACATATATATATATATATATATGTATATATGATCCCGGTTCTCCCCCCCCCCATGGTACTTCCCCTAAACCGAATACCCTCCCCTAAGCCCTAAGCACTAAACCTCAACCTACTACGGGGCAGTATGCCGTTCTAAGGCAATCAGGAGAACTTCAACAACCTCTTGCATCTGAGACACATCTTGGGAGCCATTCTGCTCCAGCCGCCTGTCGATGCCATTCCCTTGGCGGCGCGTCGCACCCCAATGCTTCCGCAAGCCTCCTATCAGGGCCTGCAGGTCTGAAAGGCCCGCGAGGCTCCGGTCTGAGGGGCCCTTGACTTGCCGTCACGAAAGGTCAGCTGAACGACATTGAAATGAGGGGAGCTATACGGCCTTTGCTCTAAAGCCGCTCGGAATCAACCTTGTTAATGGTGGGGGTCTGTGGATGTCTGTGGGGTCGGCTACAGGGCCGTTCGGCCTGCCCAAACTGGGATGCGGGCAGTGTCTCGAAAAGCTATCGTGCGCATCTCTGCACCTGGAAGGGTGATGGGCTTAGGGCTCAGGGTTCCAAGTTTGAAGGACGCAGCAAAAAAAAATGATTTCGGAAGTTCGGGCTGCTTGGGAGCATGTGTTGATTTATGTCGCCGAAGTGTTGCGCACTTAGGGTCTACGTGTGCGCTCTGCACCCGCTGAAGCCCTTCTCCCCAAGAAGTACGCCCTACAGTAGACCACAAGAAACCTAAGCCCGGAATCCTGAATTCGATCGCAAGCAAATACTTAAACACCACTTACAACTACAACCGCTAGTTAGCCGAGCTCCAAGCGTGAGCTTACACCATCATGAAACCCGCAGCCTATAGCACGGCTAGTCGTCTCAAAAACTCCCATCGGGCACACTTCACTGGAAGGATTCTCCGGTGAATTTACGGCGTTCATCGTTTGAGGTTGTTTTGTTTACATAGATCCGGGGGGAGTTTTTAAAGTGCGGCAAGCCAGGAAATCTTGGATCTCACTCTGTTCCCACAGTTTAGTGCCCTCTCAGTGGGCGCAGCACAGTGGCATCAAGGCACACTTGAACCCCTCTTCAGTGGCTGAACTGTTGCACATCACTTGCCTCTCGTACCCGTATAGCAAGATGTGCCACCAACAAAAGCGGCGCTTTGCATCTTTCCACGGCCTCTTCCTGCTTAACCCTTCCGTGCCAAGCCGGTACAACCAACCATCTCCTAACCCCTCAACCGCAAGCTTCGCTGTCGTCGGGGTTTGGGGGTAGCAACGTGTTTGGAAACTAACCCTACACCTTCAAGGTGAACCCTTACGCTTAGCCGCTAGGCCGCTTTCCCTACAGTCGCAAGGAACGCCGGGACTTCGAGGGTTGAAGGTTTGGAAGGTTTCTTCTTTGAAGGTCCAGCTTTTTGTTGTGGGACTTACCCTGGAAGGTAATCGCTACGGACAAGGTAGACGGTACCACTAACATTTCGCAAGATTGCGCAAGTAGGCGCTGTGAGCTTCAGGCTTGAGATGTAATCAAGAAAGCCTAAGCTGTAGTTTTTACGTGGCACTGTTCAGCAAGAGCTGCTAGCAACCCCAGAAAAAACCCGGCCTTTGCAAGTGCACCCATCTGCCAAACCTCAACCCTAAACCCTAAACCCTAAACTCTAATTAGACCCCTACTACCCTAAACACCTCCTCAAACGCTCGACCGTGAGGTCCCGGCCTTCTGAAGCCATTGAGAAACTACCCGACGACTGCGTCAGGTTCATGACAGGTGTCTGCACAGGTGTCTTCAGGGCTTCGGGCTTACTGTGGTCTCCAGGGTGCATTCTCAGATGCGCTGGCTCTTGTTTATCGGTTTCGGGCCCAAGTCCGAAGGCCTAAGATGGCCCGAGTCGTTCGTAGTCGTTCCGGATTCAGGCTTCGGGGCTGAAGAGTCCATAAAGGAGATGGCTGGAGATGTAGAGGCCTGGGCAAGGCTTTCAAGTCTAAAGTTCAGGGGCAACAGGGAAAATGATGAGGTGGTCGCACAAACTCCAAGGGAGAAACACCCGTGCAAGCGGTTCCGGCGTGTCGCGTACACCTTAACCTCAAACATCCTCAAACCCTAAATTTCCGGTCCTTTGGTGCAGCGCTTGAGTCAGCGCCGGCCGTCTTGGACCTGAAATATCACGCTGCGACGTGCAACCCGCACAACACAACATCATGCAGCAGCTGCAACTTTGCCGATGCTGCCTGTGCAGTGTAGGGTGGTTTGCACAAACAAAAGCCAACGAGAATTCCGCACACTGCTTGTCCAAATGGAGCGGGGGGGGGGGGGGGGGGGTGCAGGGAGTGACCTTTGGCTACCCCTACACCCTCAATAAACCCTAAACCCACCCATGAATCTTCCTGGAACCCGCAAATCTTCCTGGAACCCGCATCGCACCTCAAGGATCAGATGCTGGGGACACGGCCAACTTGGCGGTGGCGCCGGCTTCGTCCAATTGTCCTTTCGATGTGGCTTAGGGGACTTCGAGCTTACGGACTGTTGCAACAAGCCAAACTTGAAGCCAAGAAGCCTAATTCCTAATTCCGCGACGAATTCTGGCTGTCTGCACGTGCTTTCTGTACCTGGCAGACCCTTTAGACTATAGAGCAGGCTGGATTCGGATCTCTCCTGTTAACGAAGCCATTCAACTTCAGCCCCATGACTGACAAGCCTACACGGCCTACCCCGAGTCCAAACCTTGCAATAGTCTGATTAGTCTTGCAATGCTAAACCCTTCCGGACTTGAGAGCTATGCAACGCTGTTCCGTCGGGCGTCCAGCCACTGCTTGAAATCCTTGCGCTCGCCGAAGTTCTTAGATGCCGCTGGGTCATGAAACCTGTCAGGGAACTCCTAACCCCTAAGCCCCAAGCCCAAGCCCTAAACCCCAAAACCCAGGCTTCATCGCCTTTGCAGGACCTTTGCAAGTAGGATTCCGAGGAGGGCGGTTTGCCGGGTAGCCGGCAGCATCAGGTTTTTTCTCCCCTGAGGCTCCTACTGCAAAGCATGGAGGTTGCAAGGGTCTGCCAGCATCTACCAGGCTACCATGGTCATGATCTCATGACCTGCTGCAAGTATGCTGTCGTGATCCTAAGGATCATGACTTGGTTGGAAGAATGTGCGGTGGTACGTAGATCTCGCAGAAGTGCATGGCGGAGCTGCCCATCAAGAGAGATGCTGCGTCTCACCCAAGACCCAAAACAGTAAACAGCCAGGACTGTGAAGCCCCTGAATTCCTACCCACACCCTCCCCTTGCCCCAAGACAGTGCAACACGTCACGGTCTACAAGCCGTACAGCGTGGAGGCCTGCCTAATGAGCCTTCTGCACTACAAGGCCCCTACTAGAAAATCCTATGCCCTGCGCCCCAGAACCAGCCTGGAGATCCCCTCAAAATCCCCAAAAATCCTGCAGCCCCCGAAGCCTAAACCCTAAACCCGAAACTGCCCGGGGTGCCCGGCCCCCCGCCGATGCCGCGCTGCCAGCACTTGGGCGGAGCGTAATGGCCGAAGGCCAGCTCAGCCTTCTCAGAAGGCGTCTTGGGGGGTTTAGGGTTTAGAAAGTTTAGGGCTTAGAGGCTCCAATTTGAGGGCTCCGGGTGCGTTTAGATGTCTGGAAGGCTTCGGGTTGGGATGGGTTGGGGGCGGTGGATGCGGGGCTGTAGGCGCTTGTAGGGCTTTGGGGTCGAAGGGATGGTAAGCTTACGTGCTTCAGGGTTTTTGCGAGAGCCTTAGGGTCTGGGTTTGGGTTTATACAGGTGTTTCTCAGCTCCTCCTTTGCACGAGCATGCCGAAAAACTGTTGGTACAAGCATGTACCGTTCTTGTCACAGGCTGCGCCTGCTGCAGAACAAAATGGCACAAAGTCATATTTGGCGTCCTGGTACAACTGGCTTTGTCATTATCAACACTCGCACTCAGGATTGCCGGGTTAAGGGTGCCGGGTTAGGGCTTAGTTTAGGGTTTGAGGGTAGGTTTTCAGGTTAGGGCAGTTTAGGGTACTACAACCGTACTACAACCCTCCCAGCCTCAACGGTCGGTTGCACGGCCGTCTCTGTCCGGGAGACCCACTTTGGCATGGCGTTGCGCAGGGGGCGCGGCAAAGATGAGCCCCTCAAGAGCCCTAGTGGCTTGAGCTCCTCTTGCAACAGCAGCAGACAGTGACAGGTGGCGGATGTTTGGATGTGCCTGAATTTCATTCTCCAGAAACCTCGTCAAACGTCCCGGGTTCCTAGATTCCCCCTGTAGCTTGGGATTCAAGTACAGGATAAAGCTCAGGATACCGCGGGACTTGGGCTTGGGGTTTGGACTTTGGCTGTGGCTACTGCGCGCTACTGTGCGGCTACTTTGGACCTGTGGGTCTATGGCGAGGCCAACGGCCTTTGCAACAGCGACAATGAGCTTTTAGCTCAGGGCTCCTTGCTCCACACGCCTCCGACACCTCGGGTGGCCTTCAAGGAGCTTATCTGTACCGGGTGGCCTCCATGGGCTTCTTCTTGGCCTTCATCAGGTTGGGGAGCGTGGCATAGCCTGGCGCTTCGCCCGCAGAGGTTGCTACAAGAAAATGCGAAAGGGCCTGGCACATGTCTTTCACTGAAAATCTTTACTGTGTGATAAGTGTGGTCTGCATCTGGCAAAGTGGCTGAAGGCTTTAATTTAAGGACAATATGTTCAGAGTGGGGAAGCTAGGCAACGCTACCAAACCAGTAAACCTTAAGCCTTCTGTACCCGTCGGTGCGACGGATGGTTAGGGACGAGACGATCCGCTCCTACTGTAGGGCATTGGCGTGGCTCGTTGAGGCGAAGGTCCGCCGTGACCTAATCAACAGCAATGACAAGGGTGGCTTGTGGATTTGGAGCTTAGAGGGCTTAGGGTTGGAGAGCAACGGTCGTGGCCATAAACATGGACAGGGAGATCGAGGAGGGGCACGAACTGCCAACAGACATCGCATGGCTGGTGACGGATTCTGAACTGGATGGGCCCTGCAAAAACGTGAGATGCATCCGACCTCGAACATCTGACAGCGTGCATAAGGGCTCTGCAACGGCAGGCAAAGGGACCTTGACCTCCTGGATACCTGCATCCACCTGGCACTTCTGGGGCATCTTGGGGTGCGCGTGTCCCAGAACAGCGATGGTGGTCACGTGGTTATACACAGGGTTATGTAGAGGTTCTATGCAACCATTATTTTTCAGTCTGGGCAACAGAGACCTTAACGACCCGGCCCCCTCTCGGGCTCTGCTTATTCCATCGCTTTGTCGCGGGAACCTTCTGCATATCAGACCCATGAAGAGAGAGATAGATGACAAGAGAGAGAAAGAGAAGAGACCAAAAGCATTGCTGATCTTTCACAGGTGATTTGCAACACATGAAAGTTGAAGGGCAGACGGGATGGACCATGACGGTAAAACACCTTCCAACATTGAAGCTGTCATTCCTCGTCTTGTGAATTTTCTACGCATGCTGCTGTAAAACAAGGAGATCCAGCGCATAGCAAGAGAAAGAGTTTAAGCACCGGAACGAGAAGCCGAAGGAGACGACACCTCCCGAAATCGCAAGTCCTGACCACTTTACGTTCGGTTCTGCCTAGCAACCTCTGCATTGCAAGGCGGGGTCCTAGTCGAGTTCGTTTACGTCGGGTCCCTCGGGTGTTTGCCAGCTAGCGAGAAAAACCCCTGGCTCTCTCCTTTGTGACCAGGAGACTTCTGATGTCTTGAAGAAGAGATCCTCTTTCATTTTTTGTTTAAGACAGGAGGGCCTTTACTAGAGCCCTTCTCCGCAGGGCCTGGGGCGCGACACTTGTTTGTTCCTCGCCCTCCCGTGCCCACTCGACTCCCTCACTTCCACTGCCAGGGCCTTAAGGCCCTGGGCAGAAAGATCAGCCCCGTGGTGACACAACAAAAAAAAAGAAGCTTCCCCCACAAACTGTCGCCATCTAGGTGATCACTTCAAGCTCATTGCACACCTCTCGGGCCACGGTGAGGGCAGTCTTCCCCCCGTCCACCTGGTCAGCGAAAAAAGTGACTCAAAAAGTTTTTGATGCTTAAGTTTGGGGGGTGAGTTTTGCTGGGCATGCTGAGCCTCGAACGTGCTAGTGCAATGAGGCTCTAGCTGGCATGCCATGTCGAACCCTAAACTCCAAACTCTGAAGCTCAGACATGCACAGCCGAATTCCCCAAAGCAGACATCGATCATAGAGTTCTCAACCACCTGAGCTCCTGTACAACCCAGAGCTCTGAATTTAATTACTTCCCTTACGGCCCCGTGGCCCGCAGCCTTTATTCATCGAACAGAAAACTCGCCGAAAACCCACGAGCCCAATTATCCAGGGCGCCGGGCCTTTTGGGGGTTTGGGGCGGGGAAAGGGGTGACCCAAAGCGACCCTAACAAATTCCAGAACCACCTCCCCCACGTTTTTTAAGACAAGGATTTCACGAACTGCGCAGCGACATCTGGCCAAATGGACACTTCTAGCCTGAGCCCCCCTGCACCCCGGCAGTTGAATGCTAAGCCCGAAACCCTAAACCCTATTGAATCCCCCTGCCAGGCCTCCACTTTGGAGGCACAGCCCGCCTGTGGCCACTTTAGAAGGCCTGCGCCGAGGGTTTTTGGCAGGTTCGGACCTGGCCAGATCTCTACCTTGAAAGCCAGTAGACTCCTATTGTGGGGGTATGGTAGTTGACTATTTTGGGTTACGAGGCGTTTAAGGTAGAAGGATGCCGATGGTGCCCCACGGCAGTGAAAAAAAGGCGCTTAAGGTAGAATGAGGTCCCTGTGGACTTTTAAGCCGCGGTTCAGCCGAGACATGCGGAACCCTCCGTCCACGGATCGAGACGCTGGGCATGCTGAAAACCACTCCGTCCCTCCCACTTCCAATCCCAGACAAGCCATGACCCTCAAATTGAGCAACGCGCACCAATCAAGCCTAGAGCGTCAAGGCGTCGGCCTGCTAAAAGGGAGCCGGTCTGGTTGCTGTCGTCATCGATGGCCTTAGGGCTTGGGGTCTTAACGGCTTTTGGGCTTTAGTATAGCGTGTTCAGGTTTTCGGGTTTCTGGCCTCAGGGATACTGTATTTGTATTGAAGCTCGAGTGCTAAGGTCAAAAGGGATTCAGGGTGTTTGGGGTTCGGGGTAAAAGGCTGTATCTAAGGCTAACTCGATGTTCCTTGGAGGGGGTAGCGTTGAGGGGTCAGGGTTTAGGACACGTGGGGAAGGATTTACTCCACCGGGAACAAATCGAACTGCATGACTGTTGTGTGCTGTATTCTCCGGTCGCAGGGCAGAACTGTGGAGGACCTTTCAGCCTGCAGAGCTTTAGGAGAACGGGGCTTCTGCACTTCAGGGCTGCATGACCTAGAGATGTTGAGAGTTTTGGGGACGTTGGGGCTGACAAATCGTGTGTTCGAATGTGTAGGCTCTAAGGCCGAAACCCTAAACCCCAAGCCGTCCCTTCCTTAGACTTGGACCAAAAAGCGACTAGGGGGCCCGACCTGCTTGCCAAGAAGAACTACGCTCGGAGTTTCCTGATCGGAAAGGGTGGGTCCGACTCAGTGGCCGCGAGCCCCAACTCGGACACAAGGGTCGCAAGAGAGCTCGAACCGAAGGTGGCTTAGGGTTTACCCTAAACCCTAACTAAACCCTAAACCCTAAAACCCTATAACCCTATAACCCTATAACCCTATAACCCTAAGCCCCAAGCCCTAAGCCCTAAACCCTAAACCCTGAATGAAAGATTCAGGTTTCGGACGGATACTCAAGGAGCCAGTTCGCAAAAACGTCTCAGCAACTTGGGGAATGGGCAAGCTAACAGGATCCAAAACAGGAACGCTTGCGAGTTTGTTCCCGCCTCGGGGGGCCCGTAATGCCCAAAAGGTTGAAGCTCCGGAGTCATGAGCCCTGCCCTACCCCGCGATAAACTACTGGCCCACAGCTCCCTGCAACCCCAAAAACCCCTCCTAAATCCCCAAACCCTAGAACTGACCTTGCCCCAATAACCCTAAGACCCAACAACCATAACTTGGAACACCCAGCCCCAGCAAGCCTTCTCCACGATTTTCGCTAGGAGCTTGGCTACAGCCAACGGCTGGAGCTCCTGGTCCGTCCGCATGTCCCTGCCAGGACCCACAGGGGGGGGGGGGGGGAAACATGATGGTGACACGATAGCGAGGGGTCCCATTGCTTCAGCCATATAGGCGTTTGGATGGGCGAAACAGAAGGACGTTCCAAACCATTTGTGAGGTTCCAATAGACCCTATGAGCCTTAATCCCTATAAACCTAAACGTCTGTAAAGTGTAACTACTGGCTACATAGGAAGCAAGAGGGATCGCCAACTATACATAAAGCCCATGCTATCTATGTGTGCATATGAAAAACATACATTTGTTACATGTTGTTCGAGCTTGCTTCTCTTGTGCGGCTTGTCGGCATGAAGGTTTGGCTCTTGAAGTGCCGCTGTCTTCTTTCTTTGTGGGGGCCCCAGACAGCGTTTCCGGATCTGGGCAAAGAGGTTGCTTGTGTGACACATATCTGAGTACCGCACGTTTTCAAATGGACGGCCCGGTCAGCACCCATCGCCAAAGCTTGTCGCAGCGTTTCGGAGGCCTGGGAATGTGATCGGCTCATCAGTAGGGAGTACGGAGCCCCGCTACGAAGGCGAGTTTGTCACTTTAAGAGAAAAATGCGACATGTTACGCCTGGTCCTCCATAAAGACAAAGGACTTTGGTCGCAGCCCTGCACTTGTAGACCCTATGGTATCCAGCGTATCCGAGTTATGAGACCAAGCATTCCCAAAAAAAACCTGAGCAGAAGGGGCAGAGGGGGAGGGGGTTTTGCCCTGCAGATGGCAAAAAGCTCAGCCTCCCTTGCCCTAAACCCTAAACCCTAAACCCTAAACCCTCAGCTGGCAGCTTCAAGAAGCTCGGGGCCGCCTTGTCAGGGCCGCAGGAGACGGCAATCAGCTCAGATATGTGCCCCTTCCTCAGCAGCCAAGTCGAACAGGTTAACTTTTAGGGTTTAGAGTTTAGGCTTCAGGGTAACATGACCAATTTCACCCTTCACAGGGTTTTCTAGGGGTGAGAATATATGGCCATGGGTCGGGTCAGGTAAAGCAGTACAAGAGTCAGAGCACAGCGCCGCATCAAAAGCAAGATCAGAAACTGAGGCGGAGGCTCTTTTAGCCTCAGTCCCTCCTCGACCGCTATCTGCCAGGTGTGCGCGTGCGTGCGTGCGGGCGGGGCGGGGTAGGGTAGGGTAGGGCAGGGCAGGGTAGGGTACGGTAGTGTAAGGTAGGGTAAGGTAGGGTAAGGTAGGGAAAGGTCGGGTAAGGTAGGGTAAGGTAGGGTAAGGTAGGGTAAGGTAGGGTAGGGTGAGGTCGGGTAAGGTAGGGTGAGGGTAAGGTATGGCAAGGTAGGGTAGGGTAACGTAAGGTAAGGTAAGGGTGGGGGTGTGTGCGCGTGGCGCTTTTTTCAAGGCTGCTTCCAACTTGCGATCCAACAATGGCCTCACAAAACGGGTTCATGGACATCTTCACGTTGTTCAAATCTATTCCGGTCTTGTCCGGCTTGACGCGGACCTGTGGCCAGTTTAGGGGTTCGAGGTCAAAGTGCATTCGGGCTATCGGCAACTTCACTCAAATAATCACGCAAATGCCTACGAGTAGCTTGGCATGGCTGTGACTGGCTGCCCACTAACCCTGCGGTGACCATGGCCTTCACCGCATAGTCCACGACTCGCTTGACGGCCACAAGTGCCCGCATGGCCAAAAGCCTCAGAAGACAGAAGCTAGAGCTAAGCGTCCTGCGGCGTCGGGAGGCGGCCAAAGCAAATCATGGGCGGACCCTGGATGCAAATTCCTGCCCCTCAAAATTCTAGCTACCTCCTAATTCATGGGCCGTGCTCCTGGGAGCCCAGCCCATTGAAGAAAACTGATTGACCACGCATAGACCCCGAAGATTGAAGATTTCTGCTGCCGCTTCGTTTACAATGACAGACTTAAAGCGTTGTCAGATACAGGAACTGTCTGTTCAAAAACCTTCCTGACTGAATCAAAAGAGGTTCTAATTTTAACTGCCAATTGAACTGGATAACTTTGCAATGGAATGTGACACAAAAATCATGATTTGCACGAGATGTGCCAGGCGCGCTACTCCTTTCAACTGGATATATTGTATAGGTATGCAAACATGTGTATTTATACGGCGCAAGAAGTACATCTGTGGGTCCGCATACATCCTCACAAGCACCAAAACTTTGAGTGTTTTAGCAACGGAGTCCACATACTATTATTCGTATGCGCATATACGTCCAAAAGGCCACCCTCATGTGAACGATGGGCTTTGGAACAGTCTTCATAAGTTTGGGTTGCGGATGCTTGGTGGCGCTAGCTGTGGTGCTGAATTCGGTGGCCTGAGCCGAAGGCTCTGAGAGTTCAGGGTCGAGGGGTCAAGTCGGAGCGCTTGCCTGGGCCCTCAATGGCTCTCGGATGCTTGAGCAGCCCCGGCCACCGTCTCTCCGGCAGTGATGGTACAGTAGCTGCTCAAGCAGCCGACCGCCCTAGCTGCGACTGGGTAGATGTGACCCCCACTTGAGTGACAGTCCAACTCTGCCATATTCGATCTTTATGTCATAAGTCTTACTCCGTCACCTGAACCCTGGAACCTAATGAATCCTAACATGCTAGTCTCAAACTGCGCAGCTCCAGACATCTTCACGGCCGGGGTCCCAACGCCCTGTGCAGGCAATGGAAGACCGCGATTGTAACAAAAGGCTGTGGGCCAAACGCAGCGAGGACCAGGACTTGAGATTGAGATCAAGAAGGCAGCGGCAGCTCGTCTGCTCCATGCTGCAATCTCTCTTTACACTGTCATCATGGCACAGGAACCCGAGGCAGAGGACAAAAAGCCAGCTGCAAGCTGCGCCACGCCATGGTGTTTCGACTTCTTCGTTACATCGCAACTTGCTAATGCGCCATCTCAGAACAGGGCGAACTGCTTTCGCGCGGAGCCAAAGATCTGGTTCTTGTCCACCTGCGAGGATACTTACTAGATCTTCCCATGTGCATTTCGGCACATGGCTCATGCCGCTTACGAGATCTCCACCGCCACCTGGCAAGCCAGAGGGTGAGGCAAGTTTGTCGAGGCCAAACGTGCCTTCAGGACGTTGAAGCGCACAGTCTTTGCCAGCGGTCGGCATTGTCCAGCGGTCACAATGTCGCCTTCCTTCGAGCTCGCGTGCGACTCACGACCCACCCTAGGAAATCTCCCAAGAAAAAAGGAACAACTTAGTTTTTTCTCTCTCTCTGTCTCTCTCTGTCTCTCTTTCTCTCTGTTTCTCTCTCTCTCTCTCTCTCTCTCTCTCTCTCTCTGCACGCATGGCCCCCCCCCGAAAGAGGAGGCCGCCCCGAGGGGCGCACAATGTCCACTGGTCCGTGGGGGGGGATAACCTATCTCTCTGTTTCTCTGTCTCTCTGTCTCTCCCTCTCCCAAAACACAGAGAACCCCCGTTCGCAAACAAACTCAACTCTCCCCTCCCCTCGACTCCTTGGGTTCGAAGGCTGGCGAGCAGTGCACCGCCAGGTTGCTGTGGCGCTTCTCGAAACCTCACAGGATGTCTCACAAGATGTCTCACAGGATGTGTTCAACTCGGGCTTTTGGTGCTGATTTCCGAGTCCAGAGAGTTCTTGAGGCCCGCAGGTCTGACTAAGTTTGTTGGGGATGTTGTTTGAAATTTGACGTTGGATGTGTTCAGGAGCTTCGGGCGAGGTGTGCGGGGCTTGGGGTCTGGGATCTTGGCGGCTTTGCTGGCTTGGGGGTTTGTGGCCTAGAGCCGGGCTTGAGGCTTCCCAAGAAATGAGGTGTCGGATTTTCCGGGGGGGTTTCAGGTCCAGGTTCATAGAGCTCAGTCTTGCCTGGGGATGCGCAGGGGGCAGGACAGCAACCCTTGGGTACATCCTAAACAATAACTTTACAAGGCGCTTGGCGGTCCCAGGCTTGTAGGGCATGATGCGAGGATGTAGGGTGGCACATGATCTCATGACGCTGCGCACCCCTTGCTGGGAATGTGCATTGGTTAACCTCCACCCGAACGGCTGCAAGCATCAAGATCCAAAGCCCTAAGCCCTAAATTCGATTTCCCAGCGACGGTTGAACTTCTTGATGTAGTGCAGGTAGTTTCGGCGGATCACGATGGTGCGCTTCATCTTCGTGGAGATCACCATGCCCTTCAGCACGGCCCCGCGGATGCTGACATTCCTGGGCGGTGCTTGTATTGAGCTTATAAAGATCAGGTGATTTCCAAGTTTGGGGCTTTTAGCTATGCTATGTTATGCTAGTTTTGCTTGCTTCGGGCTTCTGGTCAAAAGCCGGGCTTCGCTTCGAGCCTGAGAGCCCAACACTTTGAAGACTCCAAACAAACAGACTCTTGACAGACAAGTAGCCTCTTCAACGGTCTCAAAACAAACGCCTAGTGGCAGCCTGGCTAGTCCCACTCTAAGCTACTGCAAGCTTTGTGAAAGCTTTGTCACTGTAACCCTAAACCCTAAACCCTAAACCCTATAAACCCTATAAACCCCGTAAACCCTATAAACCCTATAGACCCTAAACCCTATGAAGACACTGGCAAGGAGCCCAGTGAAAGGGCACTTCTTGTCGACGAAGTTCCTTGGTGGCTCTTAGATCGAAAGCTCTTCCAAACATCGCCTCTCCCTCACAGATCCACCGGCACTATCAAAGCCACACACACACACACACACACACACACACAGACACACACTCACACTCCAAAACCCTAACTTTCGCACGATTCCCCCCTTCTAAAGAAACCCGACTCGTTGCACACACTTCTAAAGCTTTTCAATTGTAACAAAGAAGAGTCTAAAGAAACTCGGCTTACCCAAACAGAGCTGCTCTCAACTCTAAAGAGAAGCTGAGTCTGTTTAATTTGCCCCAGGCGTCCCATCCTTGGCTTCTTTGGGCGTCGCAAACCCCAGGCCCACATTGCGCCAGTAGCGCGCGGCCTGGGGGGGTTACGGGATACTAGTTTTTTTGGGCTTCGACGCTTGTACGTATGGGGTGGTACTGCCGAGGTGAGGGTAGAATGTAGAAGTTGCGGCTGAAACGATGGTGCAGAAACATCGCGCGGTTGCTCGCGCATGGCCTTCTTGGTTTTCTTTCCCGTCAGGCGCTTGGAGCCAATGAAGACAGCATCCTGCAATCACGAGTGAGTCCACTTTCTCGCGTGACTCTGCTTCGAAGATGCCGTACGCGGCCTGCTTCTGGAAAGCCTTCTCGTTCTGATCCATGTTGTTGACCTGATCGCAACGTCCCACCATCGACAGAGTGCTGCAATCACAAGGCTGGACAATGTGGACACCTGCAACACAGTGGATCACAGCGCAGTAGAAGCCGATCTAAGGCCCCGTCGATGTAGCGCGCGGACGAAGGAGGTCGATTCAAGCCCCGTTGCTTCGAGCCCGGGCACAGAAGAAGCACTTTGAGAGCGACTCCCTAGGCCCCCAAGGGCCTCTTAAGCCGTGCTGACATCAGGAGCCTGACATGAGCAGACCAAGCTTTGTTGCAATGCTTTCTGCGATTCAAACTCTGTTCCTAAACTACCTCTACCTGCCACAAGTCTGAGCACTGGAAGACGCGCCTGCACGACCTGTCAAACGGGCGGAAAATGTGCGAAGAGTGCCTACGCGGCACCTGTATAGGTACAAATGCCCAACGTGTCATTCAGCTTGGACCGGCCTCCAAACCAACCGGCCTCGCCTCACTCGACCCTTTCCCCGGCCTTTGCTGCTCACGCCACTTCCCTTGCCCTTGCCCTTGGTTCTGCCACTGCCGGAAGAGACCCCCTGGCTAGGGGAGACAGTTGCTTCTTCAATGGCTTGGGGCCAATCCACGGGGCTTGATGGCGAGTATCCGCTCTCGGACTCTTGTTCCTCTGCCTCGAATTCCACATTGGAACTCTCAGACTCCACGCTGTCTTCGTCCAGCATCTGCCACGCTTGATCATCCTCCCCTCCACCACCACCAGTACGGAAAATGTCTGGCAGCTGTAGCGCCAGCATTCTTCGCATCCGCTGCTGCCAGAAGACCTGTCTGCTGTTCGATTCTCCCTCGGGTAGCTCGGCCAGCAGCGGAAGGCTGCGAAGCGCCCCGACATTGCTGTCCCTCTCCCATGCGCCGTAGCCCGCTGAGCTGGCAGCCCGAACACAGCCGCCGAACCTTGCACTGCGGACAACATGAACAACAAAAGATATTGCTGATTTTGGGATGTAGAGTCGCAGAACGTGCCACGGCCCCAATGAAATCTTACGCCTTCCGAATCGCTATAAGCCATGCACCGCATACTGCTCAAGTGCAGCCACAGCACAGGGGCACGAACCGCGGAGTGACCAACGGCCCCGCCTCCCCAAGCGGAGGGTTCAGAACGAAGACGTCGTCTGGGGAGCTGAGGCAACTGCATAGGCGCTCGAACTGGGAGCTCTGCAAGAGGTTTCGCACCTCCTTTTGTCCGAGACATTCACAGGCTTTCGGGTTACGTCGTCAAAGGGTGAGGTTTGAGGGTGCTTGCAGGGTTTGAGGGTTTGGGCATTAACGGGTTCCGGGTTGTCGTGTCACTGGAACTTGGAACCTGGGCGCGGCAGGCGGTAAGATGCATGATGCGCGCTGCCAGTGTCCCGCTGTGGCTTCTCATGCACTTGCTGATACAAGTTGTAGCAGCCGCATACCTCAAACCACGATTACCCCTGAAACCCGAAGCTGAGTTTAGTACGTCTGCACAGCATCCATCCTCAGCCCATAAACCCCAAGCCCAAACTCTACCTCGGCCCTGGCCCTAAACTGTCTTTTCGAAAGCCTCAAATGCGGCCCGGTCGCGTACTCGACCCGAGGTCGAATGCCCGGAAAGTCTGCTGCACCCCCAACCTGGGACGCTTCGGGGTGTAGGGCTCAGGGGGGGTTTGGAGAGGTGCTTCGTTTGTTTTTCAATTTCCCGCAAATCTCTGTGATGGAAAACACCCGGATCCTCTCGGCGTGCGAAGCAATACCTCTTGTTCCTTTAGACATTGACTCCAGCAATCCTGCATTCTTTGAATCAAGAAGATGATCTTCCATTCTGTGAGCTATTTTGCTTGTCGACTTCGCTGACTTTAATGATTAACCTCTGTTGCGTTTACTTGAGTAAGAAGTTCGCTTCCGCTTCAGAGAAAAGCCCTTCATGCAGTCGATATATTCACAGGCAAACCGCTGTTTCAGGAAACACCCCCCCCCTAGATTTTGAATCTGAGGAAAGCTCATTCCCTCTGAAAATTTACTAGGAGACTTCTGTTTTCGCCCGAAACCTGCTTTTCTGTGGACACAAGCAAGAAAAATGTTCATACTTATTTCCAAAGAATCCTCTCTGATTTTGCTATTTTGAAGCTGTAGTGGAGAATCCTGCACTTCCTCTGGGCTTCAGACACGCGCCTTCTAGATTTGAATAGAGGCAGTCTCTGTTTCCTGTTGGCTTGAAAGGACAAACCTCCATTGCTTCTAGATGGTTCATCCATACTTCGAGGGTACTTAATAACCAGTTTTAACTCTACATATAACCCACTTATGAGCCCATTAAGTGCCCTAATAAAGCTAAAATTGGGTCATAAGTACAGTTAGAGTTGAATGAACCTCCAAGTATCCTCTAGTAGTTTCTGAGCGGCAACTGTCTACAGACTAGCTAGACAGGCATCGATCTGGTTGATGTGTTGTTTTCTCTAGAATTCAATCAGGCCTCTTTCTCCTAAGTTCAGCCTTGACTAAACCTCTGGATCCTCTAGATTCTTACAAAAACTGATGGGGTTTGTTTGGTGTGTAGCCTTTCATTAGCCTTTTTCTCCTTGGAGCGGAAAATAGGAGACTTCTTAAGAGGCAAACCTCCACATTCTCAACATTTTCCTGCATGTACTCTAGCTCGTAACGTGAAACCTCAGTTCTTCAAGTTCAAGGAAAGCCTTCCTCTCCTCAAGAGTCAACTCGGGGCATCTTTGCAGGGTCAACAGGAAACCCTCGACCTCTGGCATCTTCCAACATCTCCTATTCAGGGTTCTGTGGCCACTGTCTCTTGGCTTGGGGTGCCCGACCAAGACCCTTCTTCGGGCTCTTAATCTCAGGTGCATGGATTGTCGATTTGGGGTTTTATGGCAAATATGGTAACCACCCTAAACCCTAAACCCCAATCCCTCAACCCTAAACCCTAAACCCCAAACCCTATATGGCTCTTTGGTCCAATGCTGCGCTCCGAGCAGCCAGCACCACTTGCCGGAGCAAGTCTCGGACCTCCTCCTCGCTGCTGCTCCCGGAGGCGAGCACCGCATCTGCGCAGCGCACCTGGGTCCACCAAGGCCCCAAGGAAAGGGTTTAGAGTTTAGAGTTTAGGGTTTAGGGTTTAGGGTTGAGGGTTGAGAGTTGAGGGTTGAGGGTTTGGGTTGAGGGTTGACGGTTTAGGGTTGAGGGTTGAGGGTTGAGGGTTTAGGGTTTAGGGTTTAGGGTTTAGTTCTGTACAGAGCCCAAGCAGTAGCTTCCGAATCTTTCAAGCACCGAACAGATGCACTGGTAGCACCCCCTTCACAACGTTGAAACCCTAAACCCTAAAGCCTAAACCCTAAACCCTTACGTTTTAAAGCCTAAACTGCGCTCTGGGCGCAATGAGCCCTGGCAGGCCGAGACCGCGGTTAGACTCGAAGAGGACTTCGGGAACCAGAACGCGCTCCTGCGTTTTTAGATATTGAGAACCTTCTGAGGGTTTAGGGTTTAGGGTTTAGGGTTTAGGGTTTAGGGGTTAGGGTTTAGGGTTTAGGGTTTAGGGTTTAGGGTTAGGGTTTAGGGTTTAGAGAATCATTTAAGAGAAGCTTGGAGGCTTCGGGATTCAGATCCCTATGGAGGAGGGCTTGGCAGTGTTGGAAGGGGCTCTCCTACGTGGAGGGTAGTTGAAATCAGACCCGGGGGCCTGCTGTATGGTCCAGCATTTTCAAGTCTTGCAGGGGCGGGGGGGGGGGGGAGTACGAGAGGTTCCTTCAGCAAAACGTTTGTTCAAGCACGGTCCATGCCAATACCATCCCAATGCCCAAAGAGGTCGACAAGTCAACCCTATCAATGCTCGAGAGGTGCCGAGCTGGCAAGCCGTGTCTCAAGATCGAAAAGCGAGATCCATGCTTCGGCTCGTAGGCCGGAAGCCATGTGTTGAACAGGGAAGAACCCTAAACCCTAAACCCTAAACCCTAAACCCTAAACCCTAAACCCTAAACCCTAAACCCTAAACCCTAAACCCTAAACCCTAAACCCTAAACCCTAACCCTAAACCCTTGTTCTAACAAGGAATCCCACAGCTTTGGATGGCAGAAACATAACCGCAATGGGCTTTCCTTACACTATGCCGGGCTATCTTTCCGAGAACTAACCTTCACGACCCTAAAGCCGAAACCTACCCTGCCCTAGATGTTATGGGCCTACATTGTGTAAATCTCCTCCGCCAGCTCCAGGCTGTTCTCTCCGGGGCCATTCCGGGCGGAGGCGTATGTCGGCAACTCGACCTGAGGCACAAGACAAAGGACGTGCAAACCGCGAAGGGGTCAAAGAGGTGAGTGAAGACTACATCCGCACACTACTTCGCAGCTTTAAGCTCCGAAATTCGCCCATTGTTGCTCACAGGATCTCACAGGCACCTCAAACTCAACCCCAAAGCCCTACAGCCCGAAACGCCAGGATCCCCCCCACATCCTGAAGCTATGTACAAAACTATACACGCTTCCCACGTAAAACCGTTGGATGACACATTTGTCACCTCCACGGGCCGGATTCCATAGTCGTCGCCAGCAGCGAGGCGGCTCCGCATGCAGCCACGCCCCGGGGGCGAGACGTAGCAGTAGTTCTCCTGAAGCGATGTCGGAAAGTGAATTGGGAGCCTCCTCTTAAACGCCTGAACCGAACCACCTCGTAACACCTCGTACCGCCCTCTGAACCCATCCTTGAGGTCTCGGCACCACGTCATAAGGGAGCTATCCACAATGGCAGGATGCCTCCTGCTCATCAGAGACACCATCACCTCGCGTCTGAGTGCATCTGTGCAAAAAATCAAGCCATGCAATATCTGCACCGGCAGAGCTTTCAATGTTTACAGCAGATGTCTGCAACACGCTGTGCTGATGGACTTACACGTCGTGAAAGTTGGCCAAGGCTTCGGGCGAGGGTCAGCACCTCAACTGTTCTTAAGCCCCTGGGATATCTGGGCAAAATCTGAGTACATCCCCCCTGCCTGTGTCAAGTCGCCGCTTCCCACGGAAAAGCTCAGGGCACTTTGTGACAACACCTGGGCCGCTGGGGAGAGGCGACCCCGCAAAATCAAGAGGCATCAACAGGCCCGATTTTCGGGAGTAAATAACCAATTCTAATCCTACAATGCCCTTAATTCCTTAATGCCCTAAATGCAAGAATGTACTAAGAATGTACAAGAAACATACTAGGAATGCCCCCGAAGAATGCCCTCAAGAATGTATTGAGCATGTGCTCTGCCGAGGCCCGGCCTCGCCCTTCACCACAGGGAGAGCAATCGTCTGGCCCTGCCCGATGTTGACGACGATGCCGTGGTCCACACCATGGGCCCACAGCGCCTCGGAGCAAGAGCTGCGTGGCGGCGGCGCGATTTAAGGGCGGCTTGAGGACTGTCGCCTTCTATGAGAAGTGTTCTAGGATGGCCGCTAAGACCCTCTGACAGATGATGTTACTTGGAACATCCCCACCCTGTCTGGGTAGAGATACTGATTGGACACTCCAGGGACACTCTGCGGTTGGGCACTCCAGGGATACTTTGGTCCCACACTTTAGGGTTGGGCACTTCAGGGACACGGTGGGGCTGGGCACTCCAGGGACAGTCTGCGCACTCCAGACACAATCTGGAGTTAGGCGTTTCAGGGACCCTTAAAATTTGTGCACCCTGGGTTGCGCGAGGAGTAGACCGGGCGAGGAGTAGACCGGGCGAGGAGAAGAGTCGAGTTTAACATCTCACAACCCCACACCAAGGGTGGGGAATGATCCTGAATTTGATCCTCTTAAACCCAAATAATAAGGGACAATATCACATATCCCAAGGGCCTACCTAGTGTTTCGATGTGTTTTGGGCTCTCTCTTTGGACAAGGGGCCATCTGGGCCTGAGAGACCAGCTGAACGGCACCCGGGCGATCATTCCCCAGCTGGCTGCGGATATTCCTTGTCCATTGCACCCGGCAAATTCGGTGGTCACAGGAGCTTTAGGGCTTTACAGGCCTCACACGTTTCAAGACCCATGTGCAAGATTTGACCCTAAGACCGTTTCGGAAAGGGATCGACAAGCTTTCGACTGCCAAGCCAAGGGCCCTAAACCCTAAACCCTAAACCCTAAACCCTAAACCCTAACCCTAAACCCTAAACCCTAAACCCTAAACCCTAAACCCTAAACCCTAAACCCTAAACCCTAAACCCTAAACCTTCCCTAACCTTACAACCTGAACCCCCTAAACCCCCCAAACCCCCCAAACCCTCTGAACCCCCTAAACCCCCCAAACCCCCTAAACCCCCCAAAACCCCCAAAACCCCCTAAACCCCCTCAACCCACCCCCTCAACCCACCCCCTAAACCTCCTCAACCCCCAAGGGCCAAGGCTCTGTTCCCAGGATGCCTTCTCGCTGGCGCCGGCAGCCGTGATCACGAAGGGCTCGCCGATGAGGATCGGCAGCTCCTGGGCCATTCCTTGGGCGATGGAACTGTGCGGAGGTTTGGGGTTTAGGGTTTAGGGTTTAGGGTTTGGCGGCTTAGGCAGAGAGAGGAGGGGGCTTCAGGTAGTGCTCGGCGGGGAACCACTGCACCAAGCTAGAATCGCTACGAAAGAAGCAAAACAAACAAAACAAAGCCCTAAACCCTAAACCCTAAACCCTAAACCCTAAACCCTAAACCCTAAACCCTAAACCCAAGATTCGGATCGGGGTCAAGGCCTCGGGCTGCACGGAGATGCGTGGCCGCTCTGCGCTGTGGATCTCCTCCACCGACCAGCGCCCGGAAGCCTCGTCGAGGGCACCGACCTCCCCAGAATGATGGTTTAGGGTTTAGGGTTTAGGGTTTAGGGTTTAGGGTTTAGGGTTTAGGGTTTAGGGTTTAGGGTTTAGGGTTTAGGGTTTAGGGTTTAGGGTTGAGGGTTGAGGGTTGAGGGTTGAGGGTTGAGGGTTGAGGGTTGAGGGTTGAGGGTTGAGGGTTGAGGTTTGAGGGTTGAGGGTTGAGGGTTGAGGGTTGAGGGTTGAGGGTTGAGGGTTGAGGGTTGAGGGTTGAGGGTTGAGGGTTTAGGGTTTAGGGTTTAGGGTTGAGGGTTTAGGGACGCAGGGCTTTGGGGAGCTTGGGGCCTTAGGGCCTTAGGGTCCGCGGGACCCTATCAGACCCTACTTTCATGCTTAGCTTGGCGAACCTTGACGGGCTTGGCAGTGCCCTCTTCGCTCCACACGGCGTAGGCACCGGCTTTCAGGCTGGATTGGGGTGCCAGTGCCGTCTTGTGTAGCCGGTGAGACGGGTTCACGGCCGCTTGCAAAAACTCTCGGTTCAGCATGTACTGGATGTAGCGCAGCTGCTCATTCCGCTCACAGTCTGGGGGATGCGTTGGCGAAGAGCACAGCTGCACCAGCTGCGGAGGACAGCCATCCGACTCCCAGCGCCCCTGTATTCCATCAGCGACCGTGTACTTGGTATACCCTCGGCCAACATCCACCACGATGGTCGGACTTGCGGCTGAGCGTGCCTGTAGGCGGGCTCGCCAGTCGATGCCAACTGGCGTGGTGGTGCCCTCTGCAAAGGCCAGAAGTGCTCCTGATGGTGGCCAGCAGGTCCGCATGAAGAGATGGAACCAGAGCTCTGCGTCCATCGCCTCCTGCGAGAAAAGCTTGCAGGTCGGTGCGAAACGACCCACATCCGACATCTCCAAGCTCCACACGACGCCTGCACAGACCTCATGAGGCATCTGAGCAAGGTGCAGTCCGTTCATGGTGTCGCTCGGATCTTCCATCGAGAGATATCGAGGGGAATGAGCGACTGCTGTTTGGAAGGCGGCGTGCCTCTACGTAACTTCTCATCCTGGGGCGGGAAACGTGAGAAGACTTCATTACGCAGAGGGGAGTGGCATGCCTAAGGATCGTGGAGCCTGATCACATGTGACTTCATGTGCTTGACCAACCTGTAGCTGCGTTGATCACAAAGAAACAGGTGGCTTCACTCACTCTTGGCAAGGTCTCACGACCCAGACAAACCCTTGCATGCCCCTGGAAGCTGCCAGCAACACCTTTTTTCGGAGGACAGCTGCTGGCACTCTCCGATTCCCAGTTTCAGGGCCCCAGTGCTTCAGCTCACGCGCTGCCTGAATGCGGTGTAACTGGGACAATGCATGGAGTGGCAACCGAGACCCGAAGATCTGGCCTCAACAAACAACGGCATCACATCCTTCACGAAGGCGTAAGGATCAAGTCGTGAGAGAACAGACGACAAATGACAAAGAAACAGAAAACTCCCCAATCCAAGCAACCACCATCCCCGCACTCCACGTGCGAAGCGGGATCCATCCCGACAGCTGCTATCTGCTCATTGCAACACAATAACCACACACTCTAGAATCTAAGCGATTGGGTCGTTTGCATCTGTAGGCCTGCCCTGCCTACGGAGTTTCGCAGGCGCATGCTAAAATTGTAGTTGCAACAAGCCCTAGGTTTCACCAAGTATGGAACAAACAGCGTGCATACTGGCGGCCAACCGCGTTGTGAAAAGTCACCACAGAGAGTTTCCAAGGGCCCAGCAGAGGCAATTTCTGTTTCGGGGCGCCGCGTCACGAGATTCGGCTCGAGGTTCTTCGGGGCACTGAGCAGTGCGGCTTTCGAGGTTGGAGCGCTTATCAAAGTAAAGCTCGAACTTGTTTACGCCGGATGCCTACGAAGGTCACAAACAAAAAACTGCACATCTCTGCATGAAAGCTGGCACAACATGCAGCAAGACGTGCAGACAAGCTGCCTAGCTTGCATTCAATGATCGTGTCAACGAGCCCGAAGGCCTGCGCCTCCCGCAATGGACGTATGTCACAGGATCTTGGAGAATTCGTGCCAGCACGGGGCCTTGTTCTTACCCCAAACTCCCAAACACTGCACTTGTGGGTAACAAGGGGCAAACGCGTAATCCCACTAAGCCATGAAACAAAGAGACCCCACAAGAGCCGTCCTCCGTCACCGACATGTACCGGTCACGTGCAACGTTGTCTGCAACCTCGGCCTCAGCTCTGCGACTCGCAGGCTGCGAAGTCAAGACCCAAGGTTGAGGGCATAGAGCTTTTTAGGGAACAACGGTCTCGGGTGTAGGGAACCGAAGGATTGAATTGGGATTCCAGAACCCTTCTAATCCCGAAACCAACGCACAAACTGAAAAGCCCTGGACTCAAAATAACTAACCACCCTAAAGGCCTACGGAACCCTCCCTCCCCACCCAACCCCAACAAGATCTGGGTCCGCGTGCTTGAGCTTTTCCCGTGAGCTTGCTGAGCAGCTTTTCCAAGGTTTCCTTTCTGCAGCTGGCTGTGATGTCTTTTCACGACAAACTTTGTCGATTGATGCTGATGTGATGTTGTGCTTTCTTCCTGAGTCACCCCGAATCCGGAAGCCACAATACCTAACCAACCTAAACCTACAACCCCCGACATTTTAGACCTAAAGCCCTTCCCTCGGCCCGCAAACACCATGTCCCCAGAAACCCTAAACCCTGAACCCTGAACCCTAAACCCTAAACCGTAAACCCTAAACCCTAAACCCTAAACCCTAAACCCTAAGCCCTAAACCCTAAACCCTAAACATCCCTAAACCAAGTCCTTGGTGTTGCGGAGCTCGTCCGCCTGGCAACACCCCAAAAACCTTTACAGTCCAGGATCAACACTTACGAAATAAAATGCTGCAGGTTTAGGGTTTAGGGTTTAGGGTTTAGGGTTTAGGGTTTAGGGTTTAGATTTTAGGGTTTAGGGTTTAGGGCACGCTTGGGCCTTCTTCCAACCTTCACAGCTGAACACTCTCACGTGAACCTTCAAGGCAACTTACTCGAGATGCATGGTCAGGGGAGGGCGAGCCCCGCTAGATGCGTGCACCAGCAAGATTCAACCCAACAAGCACAAAACCTCCACCGCCCCTATCGGCCGGGGGCCACCCAAAGAGTACCAGTCGTTTAAGATTCACTACATTGTAGGCCCTGGGCCCCAGCCTTTAGGATAATGTCCGAGGCTGGCAGCTTTGGGTACGAGCAGCTGGGCTCCTGCGGCGTTTTGGGTAGGCGAGGGTTTGTCAAGGCTTGCGGTTGAAGCTGTCGAGGTTTTGCCGCGTGGGATTCTAGGGTTGCGGATGTTGGCTTTGGGGGTCGCAACCGCAGCAACCCATGGACCAAGATGAAAGCCAAGGCTCATGGATCATGAGCCGCGCATGCTCGTAGGCTGACCTCAGCCAAACTGGTTTCAAGGTACATGTCGGGTAAGTGCCCGCTGATAGTAGCCGAATATGGGATTGTGTATGATATGACTGTCCAGTTGAACTTCAAGGTCTCTCAAGATCCCTCACAAACCGACAGACTGCCTGTAGTGCCGCAATAGCACACGCAACAGCCTCAACTACCGCTCCACCAGAGCCTCCTCGCAACATTACCCGTAATTGCTACCACCAGCTGTTGCAACCCCTGAATAAACCCTGGTACCTAGACCTCCTGGACCCTATACAAGTGGCACGGCTCCAAGACTCGCACCGGTGACCTGGTGTTCCAGCCTCTGGACCAACAGCGCAACGAGGCGACAAGTATGTCTGGTCTGAACATGGCGGCGTAGCGCTTAAGCCCAGAACCCCCTGCAGACACAAGCATGATTGGGATCCCCACAGCCAGCAGCACCGCTGCTATGGAGAAGCAGCGTCCGTAGGCAACCTTGCTTCTTCATGATCCCTGTCTTCACAGCTTTCGGCGTAAGGTTTAGTACTTTAGGGTACAGATGAACCCTCTAACCATTCTTGATTGACATCACATCCTCAGTGAGAGACCGTCTTCAGGGGCATGGAGACGCTCGTCATCACATCCAAGATGGCAAGGCCGCTGTGTACCTGTCTCGCACAAGGACTTGCCTTGGACTTCCCAAAAGCCTGAAGCAGCTTCGGCTCGTAAAGAGACATTCATTCCTCAACCGCACCCCGGCCAAGCCGAGCGTTTCAACCCTAGGCTATTCTAGCCGAAGCATGCCCTAAGCATCCCTCAACAGGGTCACGAGGCCGCCGCCCGAGTTGATGAAGATGGTCACCGGGGAGTCAGGGTCATCCGCCTGCAGGTCGAATCTAGGTGTCTCTGGTTCAGAGTTGAGGGTTGAGAAAAGCTGTGGGTGTTGGGAGTTGCCATTTCCAGGTGAAGGTTTTGACCCCCAACGCCACGAGATTTCTATTGGTGTTGATGTTAGGGAAGCCAATTTTGGCCTGACCTCTGAGCTCCACTAGGTAGGTTTTCAGAACTGGATTTGCCAAGTGGTCATTCCGTGACAAGCCCTGCTGCGCCGCCGAAACCTCAAGCCTCAAGATTTCTCAAGCTCTCATAAGCTCTCAACTACAAAGAGGCACTCAACCCCAAAGGATCGTTGTCTCCGGCAAGCGCTCTCGCGACTGGCTTGTCATACCTCGTGCCAACTATAGCGATAGCTCGGGGAGCGCCCGGGCGTTTACTGCGCAAGCATCCGTAGGCATGGGTTGGCTGACATGTCACGAAGTGCTCGAGAGTCCACGTGGCGCAGGATTTGGCACAGACAGGAACTGCGGGCGGAGCCAATTCTTGGAACACTACGGTGCCCCTCAACCCTAGCTCCTAAACCGCAACCGTGCGGCAGCCAATCAGCCAATCAGCCGATCAGCCGATCGGCTCATTGGCTCATTGGCTGCAGCGCAGTTTGAAAACCGACTTTGCGAGCACCAGGCAAAACCCTAAACACAGCGCATGCAGCTCACGCCTGAAGGAATAGGAGCTGCTGAACCAGCGCCTTCGTCACAAAGGCAACAGCAAACCCTTGTTCGCTCTGTGTGTATCACGCGGTTTGCATGTTTGTAGTTCGTTGGATGTCTTTGAACTTCGGACGTGGACTGCGTAGCAGCGTAGCACTGTGCTTGGCCTTAGCAGAGTCGTCATTGACCTCCCCGGTCAGGAAAATTCGCCTGACCTTCAACATCTCCTGCGCGCAACAAGCCCAGGGCTGTGGGAATCTTCCGACAGCTGCACACTTCTGAGACAGAGCGCAAGCTGGCAGCATTTTCATCATTTTTTCCAACGCGCAGCCGTTTTCATCAGTTCAAGACAGAAACAACACTGAATCCAGTGGTCCAGCCATGACTTGCGTCACACACAGCGGGCCGAGCACCGACAACATACATACGGACGTATACAACAAGTGGACGAAAACGAGGAAACATGGGCCGACCATGGTCGACCACGGCATAACTCATATACGAGTACCGGCCAAGAACCCGACATATGGAACTTGTGACTTGTGGCAGCAATGCGAACCTGCTGACAGGTCCTGGTCTATGTTCACCGTCCGCGCGGGACCTTTTTTGCCGGCTCCTCTCCAGGTTGAGCTGATGCTTATGTTGCTTAGACGTAGACCCGCTGCCGACAACTCCTGAATCACTGAAGCACCCGAACCTGAAACACTACATCCCTCAAACCTGAAGCCCACCGTCCTGTGTCTTTGGCCGGGTCTTTGGCGGCTTCTTTGGCGGGCTCTTTGCTCGGTTCCACCCTGTCCGGCGCCTTGTCAGGCGCTTTCGGCGCCTGCGGCGTCTCCTCCTGCTCCAGCGTACAAACTATGGTCTGTGTGTTAAGACATGCGGTTTAGGTTGATGCAGAACTCCGTAGTATGTAACCCCAAGAGGTCGGCGCTTGATTTTTTCAAGCGAGTGGCAACAATAGTCGCAGTCTTTTGGGCCATGGCACTGGTGGCCTCAGCAGCACACCCTGAACCCGAATTCC